AAAGCACCAGAGGAAAGGGGTGAGACAGGCCCTGCTGGTCCTTCTGATCCTGCTGGTGCTGCTGGTACTTGTTCTCCTGGGCAACAGTGTCGTACTGCTCGTACTGGAGTTGACGATTCTCACACTGATTGTGCGGAAGCTACTAAGAGGAAGACTTGTACTACCGCGGGTGGAGACGCAGAAGAGAATTGTCTTCCTGATTCTGTTCCTCCTTGTCCAACAAAAAAGGAACCGGCTCCACCTACACCGAAGGAAACCGCTCCCACTTTACCAACATCAACCGCTAAAGGTCCACAAGAGGGTCTAGGTCCATCTAGTGGACAAGCTGATTCTGCTGCTATTGTGAATCGAACTGGTGGTGGTTCTAATGGTGGTTCTTCTTCTGATCGTCCTGTGGAACCTGCTCCACCTGCTGCTTCTTCTTCTTCTGCTGAGGAGAGTGCTGTTCCAACTCAAGGCGACAGTCACGCTGGAGGCAGCGGCAGCAGTGCAGCAGGTGAAGGTGCAGCAGATAATGTGAATGCTGAGGAAACACAACCTTCTTCTCCCACTACTCCAGAGAGAGATATTACAAGTGGTTCTGATACTGCAACACCAGGGAATGGCACTACATCTTCAGGAGGAGAATCAACAAGTAACTCATCTGATGTGGGAAATACAGAAACCACCACTGAGGAATCAACCACAACCACTACCACAACAACACTTCCTCCTGAACTCACAAACAACAAGAAGGGTGATGCAGACAGCAGCAGCAGTATCAGCAGTTCTGTGTGGGTGCGTGTGCCACTACTGATTGTGGTTACACTGGCCTGTATTCTTGTGTGCTGATTGTAATGGTAGTGGTGTGGTGTGACTCAGGTCATCCTTTGTTTTCTTTTTCTTATTTTTGCATGCATACACACTACAGGCTAACTAATCTTTCACCTGTTGGGAGTTTCTCTTCTTTTTTTTTGTTTCTTAATGTTAATGTGTTTTATGTGTGTGTTTTTGCTGTCTTTGTGTTTATCCTATAATAATTATTATTATTGCTACTCCATTGTGTGTGTGTGTGTTCTTGGAGACTCTCTCTCTCTCTGTGTGCACCTGGGCTTGCACTGTAATAATGATGATGAACTGCTTTTTGCAGTGAGAGGAAAAATGAAAT